ACTTTAGCAGCTGCTTGGCCTGGAGGTGGTAAAAAGATTTTCCCTTTGCCTATCTCAGCTTGCTGATAGGGACCACCATGGCAAGAGTTGCTTATCTGTATGCTAGAGTTATTTTGTAGTTTAACCCATGTTGAAAGAAGGGACCAGAACCTAGATCTCAACCTTCTCCAGGGGAATCCTGCCTCATGAGATTGTTCATTGCCTCTTTTCTTGTGTTCCTTGGCCCTATCTTGTTATTCCTTGCTGTAGTGATTTATCTCTAGCAGGTTTGCAGAAAGCAGGCCCACATCAGTCCTGGCTGCAGCTTAGTAGCTGTGATACCGTAATGGGAGATTTTACGGGGTGAGGCTTTGAACAGACAGGGAAAGACTTGGAAACCAAGTCTGCCATGCTGGGCGAGATCTGAGTACTAGGCCGTGGCACGAGAGGCAGGCAATGTAACTATTGACCTGATTTTTTTTTTGAGGGGTGGGAATTGTCTGTTTGTTCTGCAGTAGTGAACAAGTTATCTGTACCCAATAGAATGAGTGAAGCAAGTAAGTCCAGGAAGTAGTTTCAGACAGTAAATCCCAATCTTGCGTAAGTGTAAGGAGGAGGATTTCATATATACCTATTCCCAGGTTTACTCGTAGCTGGTTGTAAAGCTCTCCCCATAAGTACCTGGCTGTTGTGCATCCCACATTCAGTTATTTCCTATTGCTGTAAGCTGAATATAACAATCTAACTTGAATCTGTGAGCTCCTTTCCTCAGCCAGGTGCCCAGACAGAGGTGTGGTGAGGTGGGCTGTCCTCTGCGGGCGGGTGCCTTGGCGAGCTGTGCTCTGGCGGCTCCCTTTCCCACATCGCCTCACCCAGGCTCGTGCGTCGTGCAGCTGCCTGGCTGTGCCATCAGCTGGAGTAAATGAGAATACTGGTTTCAGGTAGGCTAAGCACCTACGTAAGTGTTTGTAGGATCAAAGCCAACAGTTGTCTGATCTTGAAATCAAGATTAGAAAATAGTTACTTCGCCAAGAAACGCGTTAATTGAAAGAGCAGCAGTTGAAACAACTGCCTTTCTGGAAAGTTATAGCTGTCTAATTACACCTCTTAACACTGAAATAGATGTACATTTAACACTGACATCTTCATTAATAATTAATTTGATGAGTTTTCATCTGAGCATTATTATTAGAGACTCAGTTTGGGGTATATTTCCTGTTCAGAGAAATTACCATACCTTTCAACTCATTTAGATGTAAATTTTCTTGACTGGGTTCTTACTGAAATTTACTATGGATAGGTTGAGAGGTTCTCTATTTCTCTTTTTATTCCAACACAGTGAGTGACAGATTGATAAAATTATGGAAAAGACAAATTGAGGTTGTCTCATGTCTGTTCATTACATTAGGTTTTACTTTGAAGGTGACCAATTGTGAGGAATTGACATTACTTTTTTATAGTACTTTTGTTGTACATTATAGATACAGGTATATGTTTGTGTACTTAAATTTATCTGCTCTATTTCTATAAATGAAGTGAAATACAAACTGTAAGGAGACATTTCTCATGTTGGCATACACATACTGATTGAGGAAGATGCTCAATTTGCACTTCTTAACATTTCTACCTATCTTCTTATGTATATGCATCTCCATAACAACCTAGCATAAAATAGGAGCTTCAAAAGGTCAAGTCTTATTTTTAAGAATAGAAAAAAAAGTTGCTCTTTTTTTTCCCTTCTGCCTTAAAGAAAGGAAAATTAAGAACTTCTTTTTTTTTGAACTAAATGTAGCACTGATTTTGATGGTGGGTTTTTTTGGGATATCTCATATCTTATTGCTGCAAACTGCAATTCAACCTGGAAAACTTAAAAGTAAGACCGTGATGGAATCTTAATATTTAATTGAATTAAAATTACAGACAGGCATAACACTGCAGAATTGAGAATCTAGTGCTGACTTTTTTTGATTTAAAACTTTGGCTTTATTTATTATTGAGCTGTACTTGGTGTTTCTCACCTGCAAGTTGTTAAGCATAGTGGACACTGCACTGGTTACAGAGCAGGTCCAGCGGCTTTGGGAGGTATGGACAAACCCAGCGTGTTTCTGAAAGAAGCCCAGTTGTAACTTGTGGGATTTTCTGAGGTTTGGACTCTTGAATACTTAGCGAGTTTCCTGAATGAGATTCGAAGGACTGATTACTGAAAGGAAAAGCCTGACTCTATACTTTCATTATTTCATTATATGCTTGCAAATTTGACAGTCTGCTTAGAAATCTGAAACACTGAGTTGTAGTAATAAAAGAACTATAGAAAGTGATTTAAAAATAGGGTGTGTCCCAGGGAATTATAACGTGTATTCTGTGATGCTTTGTGTTATTACTAATTGATGAAAGAGCTGATTTCTACAAGTAAAGACTTAAAGGAATACACTTTTGTTTTCTGTAACCCTAAGGTTCTGTCTTTCACTTTGACTGTTCAAATCATATTATGTGACTATTAGAGCGCTTTTCATCTGGGGTCACCTGGGAAGGGGCTTGTGGGATGAGAGATGAGCAGGGTCACAGGGTATGGTATAGGAGTAGGCTGGCCTTCAGCAGCGGGAGCTCTCCATGCGCCCACGGGAGCCACCTCCTCATCCTCGGCTCCCACTCGCCAAGGCACAGTGCCTGTGCTGGGCCGCCCGGATGGCGGCTCATTCCCGCTGCTTGTCACCACTCCCCCGGGCACGAGCGCCGGGAAGGAGCCCGTGGCCCTGCGGCAGGCAGCGAGGAGGATCTCTGGAGGTGCTCTCGCTGGGCGGGGGTCACATAGGCATTGCTGCAGGAAGAGGAAAGGCGTTTCTCAGAAACAAGGATATGGGATCTGGGGGAGGTTCAGCTGGGTTGCTTGGAAGAGCTTTGCTAGAGATTGGAGGTGCTATGCTTACAAACGGGAGAGGAAGAAATATTTATTCTGGACTTACATATTTTGGATTGGAAGAGGACAGTGTGTGGCATGATGTTTATGTTGTCACATTTATGGTTTGGTCTTTCTTGGAAAATGACTAGTGAAGGAAGAAAGAAGAATGGCAATTGGTCTTTTAGTGTTGCTAAACTGGCATATTTGGCTTTCCTTCTGTGACTCTGATGCCCAAAAACTTGGTAGTGTGGTACTTGTGTAATTTCTTTTTCTTAGTTCTGGAAGAGAAACATAATTTGGCAGCGGGGTGAGGAAGGGCTACTCCTATAGACTCTTCCTAGGTTACCGGCTGGTCTCCTTGTACTGCTTGTGCAGGTGCTGAGAGGAGGAAAGCATCTGCTCCAGAAAGCAGTGGAGCCTGCGCTAGGCTTTGCCTCCAAGGTGCTTTGAAAAGTGACTTGTCTTTTTCCATAGTTACAGCAGGAGCCAGGAGGTGACCAGGTTCCTGCACCGTAGGTGAGCCCTCACGGCTCTTCCACAGCCTTTCATCACTCCTCTCGCTTTAGCTTCTCTTATCACTTGATTCCCGCAGTGGTTCAGGTGAAAGTAGCCGTTCCTGGTTGCTGCGTACAGTACCAACTCAACAGTCTAGACTGCTGTGGTCCGTGAAGACCACCTACCGATGTATTTAATGGGCTGATAAACCTAAACAGAAATAATCCCTCTCACAGTGAATGTGTCACTAGATATAAAGCAGTATGAAAGTATTTTTTCTTACACTTTGTGTTTTCATCTGTCTTCTGGTTTCCATTAATCTTGTCTGCTTAAGACTGCCTGTAATAGCATAGAAGTCCTCTGATAAAACAGCTCTGTTCCTGTACTTGGTCTCTGTATATAGAAACAAATATAAAATGCAGAAATTGTCCTAAAGAAGTGAGTAATCCTTTAGAGTGATTTCAAAAGAGATCGCCTGTAAATCTAGTAAACTACTCTCTTAATCAAAACAGAAACTTGCAGTTGTACAGCACATCTGCTGTTGTAAACGGTTCTGCACCTTTTCATGCACCAAGCAACCTCTGTGTCACCCGGTGTTAGGCTGATCCAGCATTTAAAAGGCAGGTGGGAGAGAAGGGGTGGTCGGGGTTCGGAGGTCTGGCGGGGCTGTTTGCAGCGTAAGCTGCCGCTTGTGAAACGAAGAGGAGGAAGCAGCTGTTTGTGCTTACTTTCTGCCTTCTCTAGGCAGAAACTCATACTGAGTTTGTTTGTTCTGAAAGTCTAGAATGGACTTTTGATTACTATAACATAAAATTAGACATTACGAGCTTTATTTCCTTCCTGAAGGAAGCTCAAGCATGGTATATGTACAGAAGATAAATCAATACTACATGCATACCATTTATCCAACATTTTCATGTCGAAACAGTCCTTGTAATGTTAGTTAATAGTAACTTCCCTAGGTAGAGAAATGAATTGTCTTTTTTTTTTTTTTTTTTTTTGGTAAAAAGGCCTGGAACTGTTGCCCTGCCTTGTCGCCATGGAAGGGAAGCCTGGAATTTGGGAGCATTAACCCTGCCCATCCTTTCCACGCTATCCGTAGCCCAGGGTGATTACTCTGACTTTACTGTTTAAATTTCCTCTTCTCCAACAAGAGCACTGGAAGCATTATTTGCGTTAACTTTTTTTTTTTTTTTTTTTAATCACAGTTAGTCTCTTCTGTGGTTTGTGCTTAACAGCAAAGCAATCTTCTGTTACCTGTCATTCTTCTATGCGGAAAAGTGTACATGATGAACGTCAAGAAGGGGTAGCATCACTCGTAGTTTAATATACATCTTAATAACTACCACAAAATGGCATTTTTGCAATAACTTTTAAACTTCATGCTGCCTGGTTGTTTTGCCTAGCCTTCAAGTTCTGTACATAATTCTGATTTAAATTTGTAAAGGTAAAGCACAGTAATAACATATGTTGGTATTGATAATATGAAGTTCTGTGCAATTTTGGTTAAGTTTGAAAAGGCTATAGATTATTTCTCTTGTCTTTATTCTGCAAAGTTGAAGACTTGGGTTTATTTAAGCATCTCTGGCTCAAAATATAAACTGTTTTAAAATGTTGTTTAATGCAGGCAAAATGCCAGCGCCTGAGCAGACCCCAGTGGTGGAGGAGGGGCTGCCGCAGACAGCACAGGAAACTTGCGCAGGCCCAGGCATGGAACCGGAGACCACTGCCACTACCATTTTAGCTTCTGTAAAGGAACAGGTATGTTTCTTGTTTCTTAGCAGTTCAGAAATTCAGTATGCTTTAACCATTGAATTCAGTACGAGTTAACCATTGCCCTTTATTGCATTACTGAAAACAAACATTGTTTCTAAAATGTGTTTCCTACCCTTAATACAGTGTATTTTGTAGTTATTCAAATACTACCTTAGGCAAGAAACATGTTGGAATCTGAACATAAAGGGTGTATTTAATTGCAATAAAGAGAAGCGTCATTATGGTAATCTGTATCCATTGTAATGTGTGCACTGAACTGTTGCTGTAAATCAGACTTGAAATGCAGGTTTAGTGTAAAAGCTGCTGTAAAATTGATACAGCTTTGGGAACAAATTGTTTTTGTCCATTCTATAAAGTTGCATACAGTGCTACAGAAACATGCAGATAAAGATTTGGTATGAGATGTTAAGTATATAATGAAAAAGCATTTGTTAACATCTCCTTTTCTACACAGGAAATGTTTTTCTTGTTCTTAGAGAAAAAGAATGATAATGGAATATTTCTTTATCTTAAAAAAGAGGCTAAAACCTCTTCCCTTTTTCATTCAAAGAAAGACTACGAAATATATGGACTACTAAGTAACTATTCTGATCAAAGAGGGAAAAAAGTAAAACTGAAATTGTTTTAATAGTTGGTGAAATACAGACTTCAAAATTATATCTTAAGTGTAATATATATGGAGACATTAGAATGAATGGGAGGAAGAGGAAAATGAAAGTTGTACTTCTCTCTTGCAAATGATAAAGTGAAGGTGTTGAGGACCGAACTGTAGCTTTTTGAGATTTTTTTTATTGTTGATATTGATTGTGGACACTGACATATTCAACACCCTTCCTGTATGGCAGAAAGCCCGGAACAGAATATTTTCCAGTGTGGTCATTTACTTTATTATGCTTGAGCAGAGACTAATATGCTCTTTGCTGTGGCCTAACTTCCTCTTATTCAGGAATCTCTCTTTTATCTGCAGTGGGTTTGTGTTTGTAAAGTAGAGCTGCCACACCTTAACTATTCCTTCAGTACTTCAGAAACACTTACTACAGTGGAATCACAAATCAGAAAAATCTTTATTGTGCCTTGTTGCTCTGTTTTAACATAATAAAAAGTATTTAAATTGCTATAGCACTTCTAATGGGAAAGTGTAATTCACTGAATAACTGTAAGCAATGTCTACCATCATGGCATAGATATGACTATATAAAAAGTTGCACTAATTATCCTATGAACTTTGTAAGGCACTCTGACTGAGCTGTCCATGTGTGTGTGTTTTTTCCTATGGCCGCAAATTAGTTTAAAGCAACGCTTTTACCAAACTAGAGTAGGTGTGTCCCCTGTACTCTGAAAAGTCCGTCATTGAGGAAAAATTGTCAATCAAAAAATCGATCTATTCATTTGTGGTGTTACAAAATGGTAGGTGCAGAACGAAGTGGGATCTGCGGTGAAACCGAGGTTCTTACAGCCTTGTCTATTCTCTTCCGACAAAACTTAATTTGTGTTTTGTCAACATGAAGTCACATCCCTAATTAGTGTAAGTTAGGGCGCACGCGCGCACACACACTGCATCTCTGTTAGAGGAATTCCATTTTGAATGCACAAAATCCGAAGACTGTACAACTGTCCCGAAGCTGAAACACAGTTTGACCTTTTCTTTTTTCTCTCTTTTTTTGGCGATATGAATTAGAGTTTTTTTTTTTTCTTTTCCCAGCCCACCTGCTTCACTTCTAAAATATCGTGAAGTTTGCATGCATTTATGGCTAGAAGCATCTCAGGAAATGCTGGAACTAGCTCTATGTAAAGCTAAAGCATTAAAATATGTGACTTTATTTCTGGAAACTGAATCCTGGGGAATACTTGGATAAAAGTTTGGCTCTGCAGAAAGTCTCTCATCCACATTTAAAGTAAATTGAGTATTTTCACACTATAATAGCATGCTATTACAAATTGGAAAGGCAACATCATGGCAGTAATTTCTTTTGAAATGTAAAGGCAGCTAGTTGTCAACTGCTTCTCAGGATGAAGGTATAGATTTGCGGAATCACTGCTACTTTTCACGTGCAAACCTTATGCTACTGAATTTAAAAAGAGTTGCTGCTGACTTGGCAAGATTAAATGGATGACTGGATCATTGAACTTCCTGTTTGGCATGTTAGTTTTCCTTTTCGGTGATTGGGCTTAGACAGAGGAAGGTCTTGCAGGAAAAAGCTCACTCCAGCCTTAAAAACCAACATGAATGCAGATATTTTTGACATCTATAGTTGTACAGCCTTTCATCATCATTTCCTTTACAAATGGGTGGTAATAAATTAAGAATGATTGGTATGCTTTCGGATGAATAGGAAACCCCAAGAGACTTATGATTAAATGTTTTCCTTGAAGTGTTCACTTTTGTTTCACACTTCAGCAAAACCTTTTCTTGTTTGATAACTGTATTGAACTGTATCCTTAGAAACTGTGTGCTTTACTTTTTTCCTCCTCTTCATTGTGAGAGTACAAAATTCTCTATTTCTCAAAATGTTTCTGTGCAAAGATCTAAGCAAAAATCTTAATTTTTTCAATATGGAAATAAGAAAGAGAATGCATCCTCTGTATAGCAAAAAAATTTATGAATGCATATTTAAAAACTATTTTTACTGAGTGTATTAGTAAGTTTGGGAGATTTCTTTACCAACTCAAATGCAGAGCAATTTGTTATGAAGTACTATGTAATCTGTGTAGACGTGTAACTTCAATTAGTAAGTCTTCTTTCAGATACCTTGCTGAACTTCTGATAAGTACACAAAAAACTGAACAATACGACTTTGAAATCCTGCTTTGCTTACACCAGTGATCAGTTAGACAAATACGTATCAGTTCTGAATGGAGGTGGTTTGTTCTCTCTCTCTCTCTCTCTCTCTCTCTCTCTCTCTCTGTGTGTGTGTGTGTGTGTGTGTTTTAATTGTTTAGCAAACTGTGCATGAGTGAAACAAAACCCTTGCCAAAATTTTGTGAGTGACTGGAAGAGGCAATTTTTTAAAACTCTCTTGCTGTTTTTAGTTCCCTAGCTTTGAAGTTTACTACTTCTGCTGTTTAGAACCTTTTCCAGACTCAATAAAATCAAGTCTGATAAATTCCCTTTCTGAGACTCTTATTCTAAGATAAAATATCTTACATTCCTGTCTCGGATGAAACTGCTAACTCATTTCCTGGATCAAATTTTGATGTTCTACTTTATTAATATGAAAACATAGAAATTGATTTTTCTTTCCAATATGTATTGTTAGTTTTGTGGAGAACCTTGAAAAAGAACCTACGTGGAACTGTGGGTACCCTTGAAGAATACTGAAATACTCCTTTTGTAACATATTAACGTTTAGATCACCATTCTATCTACTCTACAACAGCACAACTCTAATCAACAGCTGGCAGAGCAGTATACTTTACTTCAGCGCCAATTTAAAACAACCTAATGTATTGTAGCAGTTTCAAAAGAGAATGATGCCCAGAAGTTGTCACTGAAGACCTCAAGTCAAGTCAAACTTTCTTCCTTGTTGTCTCTATCATTGCTTATCAGTATTCTTTCAATGAATTGCTAGCCATTTTCCTTAAATTTTGATCCCTCATCTGCTAGAGCAGCACTAAACTGTTTTACCAGGCTAGTGAACAATGTAGGCATAGAAGTATTAAGGGCTTTAATGGTCTACTGCTGTTGAATACAGAGTAAGTGAGATCAGTCAATAATTGTAGCTGTGTCATTTCACATCCTGCAATCTGCAATTCTTTTTACCCTATCCAATTTTTTTTTATCTTTTGTCTTCTATTTTGGAAGATACAGAGATACTGAAAGCATGCAAATGCAGTTGTGTGTGTGAGTAAACTATTTTTACCAAAAAAAAAAAAATTTGATCTATTATGCTCAGTTTTCTCTTGATAGGTCCTTGTAGAGGATTTAAACACTGGGTCACTACTATGTGATATTCAGTTTGGAAAAATACAGTATTCAGTGTGTTTTTAAGTAGTCAGTTTCTGAACGTATGTAAGAATTACAGCAGGTGGAAACATAGAAGTCTGCATAGATCAATCCATGTGCTGGGATTTGTAACGTGAAGGAAGTATAAATGAACAACATTCTGTTTGTCCTCTTCTCTGTTCCATGTTCGTATCATACGAAATGTCCAAAATATAATCGCCTTTCTTCTTTAGCACCATTAGATTTTCATAGAGAGTGGGAGTTGTGTGGCTCTGCACTGCGCGTTGCAAGTGAAGGAGGAATAGTTAACGCCAGAGAAAATATTCCTTTTAAAAGGCTAAGTACGCTCTCTAGGTCATCGGCTAGTCTCATCCACACTCGGACTGCTGGAAGGCGCTCAACTGAATCGTTCAACCACCAAAATGTTTTCGGTTAGGAAGATGTTCCATAGTTTCATGTACAGTTACTTCAGAACATTGTGCAAAGTCAGTGACATTTGGCAGCTTGAGCAATTTAGCATATCTTGGCGGTATTACAACTGGAAATATGATTCCCATCCTAGCCTTACCTGCTCCCACAGCCTGTGTCAGCAGCCGCTCAGAGCTAGCAGAAGCCAAGAAGTTGAGATCCATCTCTCAGGATGTCCAGCCTGCCCGAGCCGGCAGGCATGCACCATTCACAAAGAGCTCCTGTGTCGTCTTTGCTGCTTGTGCTGTGGCTGCTGGTTCGTCCATAGCTGTAACTGTACAATCTTCGCTTAGCCGATTAGACCTTCCACTGTTTATTTAGGGTTTTAACTTACCTGCGCTTTGTCAGAAGTTTTCAGATCACAACAGGGCAGGAAGAAGCTAATTTTTATTTTTCAACGCTTTGAATGTAGACTTTTCATTTTCATCCATGTTACTGAGGGGGAGAAAACTTCCTGATTCACCAAAATGAAAACATTGGGTCTCTCCAACACTGTGTCATAATGGGGTGCGTATATAGAAAGTGCAGAATCAACTCTAAACCTTGTTTTACGTTCCAAAGGCTGCAAATAACA